CTTTGAGTTCGGAGTAAAGGATGATGTCAGACCATAGCCTACTATTGCTAAAACCGTGATAAAGTCTTGATATAGCACTCTGTTGGGATAAAGCTAAAATATGTAGTTATAATGTTAGTAAGTTAGATCCTACAACATAATATGAGACGACAATACACTTTAGTTTTCAACGCCCTTATGAAAATGTGGACGTAGGCTATGTGATTGTTGTCACTGTCTGTCCGACCGATTGTCAAAATTTCTTAGTATGTTCATGAATTAGATATATTTATTAGAGTTTTCATTTTAAACATGTATTAGAGTTTTCATTTGGTATTGATATGATCTCCACTGCAGACTTCAATGGTCATAAATACCTTAAGACACAGTAGAGAAAACTCGTTAGCCTAGTGGTCATCAATTCTGAACTGCAGGAAAGAGATCCAAAGATCTTTTACCAGATGTTTGTAAAACATTATTAATTTGCTTTCCGGTGTACTTACGGATCCTGTCAAATTTAAAGCAATCTTTAAAAATTAAAGTTCACAACTTCCTTCAACATTCCTTCCCTTTTAGAGTAGTTTTAAAGTATGTGTATTGTGTACTGTTTTTTTTTTTATATCGTATTGTTTCATAGGAGGATTTGTATTTGTAGAGAGGGGTTATATAGGCTAAACCCTGCTTTCAAATCCTTTTCATATTCATGTGATAAAATATAGTTTAAAAATCTGTAGAATAATGATATCTTGAATGAGTGAAAACACCTCAAAATCAGATTGCTATTTGCCAATTCTCTTGCATATTCGACTATGTTTCATGAACGTTATATTATTCCCTAATGTCCTTGACTTTGCGAAACTTCGTCAAAATGACATTTGGCTGAAACTCTCATGCTTATGTCGATTGGTGAGACCTTAGATTTTGGAGTGAACGGATATTGAGTAATTGTCCTTAAATTGTCAAGAACGCATCTAATGGTCTTGTTTGTTGATGTTGATGGTATGCTTATGATTAATGATGAGGTCTCGTCCTGGCAAAATTTCCCTCATTGCACCCTGCATGGCGTTTCCCGTCTTCATTAGACCACAAGGTGCATAAAAAGGACGTAAAAGTAAAACGCCGTTCATTTCATTCGTTAAACGTATTTGAATTTTTCAATGACTAATTGAAGGAGGCGGGAGTTTGGCAAGGTTATTGTGGATTATGTGTGCTCAAATGAGCTCTTAAATGATGATGTTGAGTTGTCGCCCTTGCTTGAAGATTGCACGATAAAAGCTAGAATTTTCGTCGAATTAAATTGTAAATTGTGTGTATTAATGAGGTCTCGGACGATTTCGACGTTGAAGGTGTTTCGATAAGATGGTTTAAAGTTACCATGCTTTACTTTGTGAAAAACTAACCTTGTTAACATTACTGAAGTTAAAGTTGAATTCGTTTCTGGTGAATCTAAATGTTTGTATGGATTGTTGTGATCACACTTTTCTTCCGCTTACTGGGCATGAATTAATGAGATACCAATTGACCAAAGGGAAAGTGTACTGTGGTGCTTTTTTCTTCTTCTTTGCCTGTATGTTATTTATGTTGAGCAGCAACGACGGGTGTAGCGCCAGGCACGGTATGCTTACTCTTCTAGACACTTATCACTTTGTAAACCATTATTAGGATAGGAGCGTATTTTGTTATCGGTTCTACTTGTTCTAGCACATTTGCTTGTGAACTCGATTGAGAGTACGGCTTAGTTTCCATTTAGATGACACTTAGCATGCTTATCTAGGCTATATTAACAAGTCAAAGGGTTAGTTGCGAAGATGGCTTGCCCACTGGCAACTTTTATTTAAAAAAAAAAAAATGGCGATACATTAATACTCACCAGTGAGCCTATGAAATATTCAACCTTCAAAGTCACTTCATTTGAAATTTTGGTAGGCCTATGATGATCTACATTGAATCTCAAAGGGGTCTAATTTTTTGATTAACTTGTTAAATATTAGTATATATGCATATATTTTGTAAGTCTTAACGGTTAAAAGTTTACTGCTGCCATGGAATTTGCTGCTGTGTAGAATTGTAACCTTTTGGTATACCATTCGTTTTTCTATGTCGATTATTGAAGTTTAACACTATTTGTGATTTGAATAATAAATTCAGATCGTATTGGCAATGAGTATTGAATTCTAAAAACAGGTGCTTTGGTTTTCTGCATTGTGAATTATAAAATATGGTTCGGTACGGCATCAACTGTCACATGCCATATGATATAAATCGGCGTTATTCATACAGCACGCTTCTGTAACCACTTTTATTCGGTCTTTTAATATAGTTGACCTCGGTTGTGATGGAATGGTCACTTTTATTTACCTAACGTCAGATATCATAGTTAAACGTCACGCTGTTTAGTAACCTGGGTTTTACGAGGTGACGTTCGAACTCACGTTCCAGAGTATTATAGACACGTGTTGGTCATTAAACGTAAATTATCCATGATTAGAGTGACCAGTGGTCAATTTTGTTTGCCATCTTTATTTTCTTGTTGAACCAACGCAGGCATTAGTGAACAATGTATAGTTTTCGAATTTTGAAAGACATGGTTGATTTGAGTTGATTTAAACTGACAAAATGAAGAGATTGGAAGTAGTCTAGTTTATTGGTGCAAAATAAGCTGCAGAATACTCAATACACATGCTAGAAAACCTTTTTAACCCGTTAAAATAACAAATGTTCATAAGTTTCAGATTAGAAATAGGTTTGGAAATACATTGTTGTTTTCGAAACTTACATGAAACACTATGAAAAATATTTTTGAAAAAATTCTAATTCTTAAAATGTGTGCAATAGAATATGTTTTTTTTTATGGAAAGGCTAAGGTGACATTGTTGCCTGACTCGACGAATATTTTTTTGGATCATAAAATTTTACAGACGTCACCAGAAATAACTGCACGTTAGAATATTCAGATTGTCATGGACCTGGCGGCAATCTAGAATACACAACTCCTTTTGTAGAATTGTGTGGAAATCCTTAGTAAAAAAAAAATTTGATTCCGAACCGATATACGCAGAGATGGAAACACTGTCACCTATTAGATACAGAAAGGGCTATTAATAAAGAATGAATGAAGATAAGAGGCTTACTAAATGAATGAAGGACGCTTGTAAATATGAAAATGACATGTTGTAATAAACTGGTGACTTGTGCTTTGCTCATTAATCAATCGATGGTCATCCCTACTCCGGACAGTTAGAACATTAATGCGAGAGACAACTATGGACGCGTGGTCATAATGGGTGGTAGGCTGACCTGTGGTCATTCCGTAACCTGGTAAAAGACATTAGGTTGTTTTGTATGCAACAATCAACATGTCATTGAGTTTGTCATTTGTAAAATTTACAAAAGATTGATAGCAGATTATTAATTCTTAATAGTGTTTTAATTTTTCGTATTTTCTTCTTCTTGAAAGTTTGTCAAAATGACAGATTTATTTTTGGAATTTTAAATGATGCATCACTGTTATTATACGAAAAGTGTTCAAGGGATTGTAAAGAGTTTTTGTTTTTGTTCTTTGTTTTAAACATTTATGTGTATCGGGAACACTGATAGAATCGATGTATAATTTTTCAGTAAGACGTCTGTGGTTCCTGCAATTCCTCTATAAATTAAGCGTTTGATGACGCCACTTATAGACCCTTTGTGCTACGGACGTCATATAACGCTAAATTTGGGGTATGATTGTTTTCTCAAATTCTCGGGACTTCAAATTTTCCTTACATTTGAAATATTTTTCTCTTAATTGTATTAAAGATTATTACACAATGCATGAAGTATACAGATGATAACGTATGAAATAAAAAAATGAAATGAAGTTAGGTCTTACCTGGAACATTTTTTGCACCTAATCATGTTAATGAAAGAAATTACGTACACTCATTTTAAGGCATTCGATATTTCGAGTCATGATTGATAGAGGTTTTCTAGCTGTTCGTGTGCATCGGGGACATTTTGGCTTATATTTATTATTCCAATGTTTCGTCATATCTAGTGATAGGCAATCTGATGAAAATAATAATCGATCAATCGAAATAATCGGAGAGGCATTATCGATTATATAATCGATTAATAACCCCATTTATTGAACATGTACTTGTTTAAAGTTAAATTAATTTATTAATAAAATAATCAAATCATGCCTCATTTGTTTCTGTGTCGAATCTAAGGCTAGTCCTCGAGAAAAATTAATCAAAGGTGTGACAAATTATCAGGATCTCATTGTTTTAGTCGCCTAATCTTATGATAATTTAAGTTTAATTCATTATCAGAAATTTTATGTTATCAACAAAAAACAACATGCCTGCTTTTTATTTTGGTTTGACGACGTCGCGGACTTTGAGTTGAGAATCGATTAGTAACGTCGCTGGACTTTCAACGACCGATAATCATTTGTTGCCGACATTATAATATAAATGCAAAAACTGCATATGCTAATATGATCTAAGTGCCTTTACTACGTCATTAGACGCTTAGTTTTAGTGGAATTTAAATTGGAATAGTGAAAATTGATGCTATCAGTATCAATCTCCCTAATAGGCTACACATCCTCTTAACAACTCTTCATAGTGCAATAGGGACACCGTAATTCACCTCAACAAGAAGCCTTTTTCAATGTCAGGGGGGAACCGATTGAAAAGTAAAAAGTAAGAAGTTGGTTGACTATCAACTATTCCTGAACTCCAGTTAGGATCTAAAGACCTCCTTCTTTAAGATACGTCAGTTTAATGAAACCGCCAGCCAATCAAATGCCTTCCGTCTCTAACACACTGTGATTCAGTATTTAATGCTTCTCAGAATACACCTTTTTTTTCGTCAAGAAAATTACAATCAAGGCGTAGTGAAATGAAGACACTTTTCAAACGCATATCCAAACTTTAGAACTGTCTTTTACCATACATGTAATTGATTGCACCTATCTGACTGATGGATGAAGTACAGGAAATATTGTTTAAAATTTCATGAAACTAACAAAGATGAACCATAAAATAAATTTATTTCAAAAATATTATAACCAATACATTCCAATAACCAATTTCACTATAAGTATTATACAACCATGCATTCATAAACAATTACGTTCATTTGTTCCTCAAACTCTTGTTTTTATCTATATCCACAAGAAATATGTTTTATATCTTGAGCAATTAAAACAGAAGGAGGCACCCAAAAAAAAAACAATATATAAAACCAGAATAAATAATACATAATATCAAAATAAAAATGCAGAAAAAAAATTACTCTTTTTTAGAGCTCAGTCATCATGCTAACAATAAATAAATGCCCTTTACAGAATTTTCATCAGAAACGGGCTTGCTCAGTTCAAGACATTTCATAGATTTCCAGCAACTCCATATATCTTTATGCACGGTCTATCAATGTCTCAGATGAGAAATTGCCCATGTAAATACTGGTAAGATTTTATGATATTAATGACTAGCATACAATATCACAGATTTCAGTGTAACAAAGATCTTATTTTAATCTTTTAATCTTAATAAATATCCTGAGGTAGTCTGATGTCTGAAATTAAAACAGAAATATATTAATGTCATCATTAAGCTTTTAACATTTAACAGCAAAATGTTTTTCAATTTCTCAAACAGAAAATTTTCCATTTTAGCCTCTTCCATCCTTTGCTCCGATCAAACTGTGGACCCTAGAATAATAAATCTATAACCAGGATAGTCAGTTTGGAAATTAATTTAAAAAAAAATAGCTTGCCAGACAAGGTAACACACGCCCACAACCAGCTGTCAGAAATGATAACAAAATCTTTAGTGGCTTAATAATAAATTTTCAAATAATCTTAAAAATATTTATAAGTAAAGGCAAAACCTCAAAAACAGTTTATTAAATTATTATCAAATTCAAACATGAACAATGTCCCATCGACGTACACACAACAACAATAACTCCAAACCATTTGTGCACTTATTACCAATTTTAAACTTGACTGAGATTTCATCATTATATACATGGATTGCGTCTACAAGCCAAATTTCCTGCGTTTCTTAAAAACTCAAGGGCAATAACTGCGAAACCGTTCATCCGATTGTTACTAATTTCAAGCTTTACTGAGATCTCATGAACATGTACATGCATACCAAGTTTCATGAAGATCGGATAAAAACTGCAGTCTCTAATGTGCCTACAAGCCAAATTTGGCACGTTTATGATGGATCATCTGATTATTACCAAATTCAAACTTGACTGAGATCTCATCAATATATACATTCATACCAAGTTTCATCAAGATCGGATAAAAAAAATTTAGTCTATATCATGCATAAGCCAAATTTAACACGTTTTACTGGCAATGGCAAGAAGTCTGAAACTGTTCATCCAATTATTACCAATTTCGAACCTGACATAAATTTCATCAATATAAACATGCATCGCAAATTTCATCAAGATCAGATAAAACCTGTAGCCTCTATCGTGCATACAAGAAAATGTTGACAGACAGACGGACAGGGGCAATGGCAATATGGAATGGAAATGTGGCCGTATAAAAATTGTTTTGATGAGTTTTTTTGTTAACACCTGTTCTTTTCTGAATGTCTATTCCTGTTTGCTCCTATAAAATTCAATAAAAACATATCCTAATATAACTTATAATTAGCTAAATTGTGTTTTAAACGAAAAAAAAACAACATTGTAACATACCTTTGAACTAAATCTCCACCTATTATATCACTTATATGATACATAATCCCTAAACGAGCTAATTTTGGCCATTTTCTTTGTTCCATTTCCTAAAATTGAACAGATTTAATACACATATAATAGTTAATAAAGATTGTATCAAATGAAAAAGCAATACAAATTCAAAACACAAAACATCTAATTAAGCCTGCTGAACTGATGGAAGCCAGGTTCCAAAAGTCTTCAAACATTATGACCTGGTATCACTCTTACCGTTTGTAAAATCTGTTTATATTTACATCTACGCAACATAGTCAAAATAACCTTTCTTCCTTTCATGAAGGTTTTCATAAAGAATCCAGCATTAGGTATTGAAATCCAGTATGAACCTATATCTCTAGCAGTTAATATTGAAGATATCACTAAGTGGCTGAAATATAGAATACAATACAAAAATATAGGATCACCACTCATTAACTTTTACATAATTCTTTTTTATTTTTATATTTTCATACCACAAACAGGACAAATGGAAATGAAAGCTCTAGTTTCTTTTTTCAAATATATAACAGTCTAGGGGGGGTAACTGCAATGAGTTAAATTCTGACAACAAAAAATACAATCAGCAGTTGTTAATACTTTCTATGTATTTAATTCAAATTAATATTTCTATTCTAATCATTAAAATATGTGAATTGAATTGATTACCTTTATGACAATGAATATGTATTAGTAAGAACATGTATATATGAATGTATAAAAACATTTGATTTTATTTTTGTATCACTTACAAATATATGAACTAGCTAATAAATTATACAGTAATAAATATACTAACGTTATTTCTTTGTCTGTAAACAGATAATCTTTCATTAAAGTTTCTGTATCTACACTGATATCTTTACATGTCTTTAGAATGGTTTCTTTACATTTATCTACAATACTATCATATATTAACACAGAGATACATAATACTATACTGAATCGTACATTAAAAAACAGCAAGTAGTAACTCCAAGTCCTTTTCCCTTCAACAAACTGTAGTCTATTCTCAACAAAAGGATGTAATATCTTGAATGCGTAACAACAAACAAGGTAGAAAATATCATTCACATGATTTTTATACGTCAACATGAAATGGGGGGCGTATATTGCCAACACTCTAGAAGGCACAATTCTTGATTGATTTCGATGAAACTGGGTATGATCGTTTGTTATCACCCAAGGATGAACCCTATTGAAATTCAGAAAAATTGAAAAATATTTAGTATGAATGAGTTATTGCCCTTGTTCTTAAAATTGTGTTAAAGTTTTAGTCTGTAAACACTCTACAAGGTTCAATTCTTGACAGATTTTGATGAAACTTGGTAATATTATACAGTATCGCCTCAAAAAGTTCAAAAGGAGTTATTGTTTTTATTCTTGAAAACATGTTCAATTTTTAGCCTGTAAACACTCTAGAAGACACAAATTCTTGATGGATTTTGATGAAACTTGATGTGAGTGTTTGTTATTAGCCAAGGATGAACCACATTGAAAATCAGAAAAATCGAAAAATACTTAGTATAAGTTATTGCCCTTGTTCTTAGCCTTACAGTTTTAGCCTGTAAACACTCCAGTAATATTTTACAGTATTGCCTCAAAAAGTTCAAAAGAAGTGTATGTTTGAAGGTTGATTATTTCATACTGGTAATTGTTACAGTACTGCCAAATATTTTTATTTAAATTCAAAGCTACCAGTGGTCGTATATTACCTTGCCTGGTATCTTGATAATAGCTTTGAATACTCCCGCAGAATGAAATAACCCTTTGCATGAAATACTTACCTATAATAGATGTCTCTATATTTTTATCTTTCATTATGTTTAAACAATGATTGGTATAATCTTCAGTATAAACAATACACAGTTCATCAGCATTGGCTCCCAGTCTTAGTATCTTTATCATTCCTTCTTCACGTAAATCATTCTACAATATAGATAATCTCCATTCAAGGGCAAATGTATTCAATTAGAGTAGGACTGTAGCTTAGTCGGTCATATATGCATAGAATCTTGTGATGCCATTTTCTTGCTAATTTCAAAAAAATAAAGATTGGAGTGGGTGAAATTCTAATGATCTTAGTTCAAAACAATAGATATTTTAGTCATTCAATTTTCATTTTTCCCCCCTTTTTATCAAATTTCATAACAGAAAATAAAAAAGATATGAGAAAAATTTACCAAATGCTTATCAACAATAGTGCGATTTTCAACCATGGAATAAACTTGATGCTTCATCATAATTGGTGGAATCTGATGTTCAAATTTCTCCACAGGAAACTGATGACGTAAATATTGTAATGAGAAGGATGTATCTGTTGGCATGTCATTTATTGATAAAGCTGAAAGGGAAACAACTCACAGTCATAAAGAATCTCTGACAAAACATCAAAATGGAAATACCTAATTGTAAGTCCTTACCAGACATCATCAAGTATAATTATTATGCCAATATTTATGTTAATCAATCAACCAACTAAAATTATTTCATTATTTAATTCTGACTTAACAATAAGTAGGACGTAAAACTCCATTCATTTCATTTCATTTCTGACTTAACAATAAGCTTATACCATTTGTTCCGCATATTACAAGAGTTAAAAACATGTGAAAGTTTTCTCTTCTACAAATATCATTCCAATATACATATATCTAAATAAAGATGTCAAGCAATTGTTTAAATGTTCTGAAAATCCATAACAGCTATTAAAATTGTGTAAATCAATTCCTCATTTACAATAGGTTACTCACCATTTTCTCCTTCAAAATGATCAATGACATCTCCATTGATTGGATTTAAACATCTTCTTTTTGACTTGTAAAATTTTGGTAACAAGCTTCGCTTACGATTCATACTGAAATCTGAAATGTCAAGAAAAACACTGCAAGTTAAAAATTGACTTGAAAGATGGAAAGAGAAAACATGGGGGTTCCAACTTCTATAGTACTCGACAATAGATAGCAATATTGTAACTTCAGTTGTTGGCATTTTCAATCACCCAAAATCAGTCTTAGACTTAGACTCAGGATTATTTTGGAATTGATATTTCAATCCATACAGATAATTCTGATTATGTAAACATTGTGATCAGATGACACAACAATAACACACAGACACAGGCCAACACAGTGTTCTCATAGCTTATTATACTAGCCTACTATACACAATTGCCTAGTCTAAAGTAAAAGCCTTATCAAATGCAAAATAAATATAAATTGAATTTATATGGAAGTCTATAAATACATCAAACATATACACAGAGTTATGATTACATTTAACTTCTAATCGACTAATAACTGATGTCGCAACATTTTTATTTTGCTTGTCTTGTCACTCAGGATTGTTTACAAATTTGCAATTTTACCGAAACGAAATTTTAAAATCCTTAAAGGAAATTATCGAAAATACCCTAAAAATGGTAATTCTAGTTAGCTAAAGATTTACTATAAACCATTTGTTGTAATAGAGATTTGAAAAATAGAATTAATGAAAGCCTTAACTTTTATTCGTGATAATTCATCGTTATCACAATAACATTGAAGTTCAATGCACAAATATTAATCAGCCGATCGCTGATTGGTTTATGACAAACGTCATGTACTTGCGAAACCAAAAGTAGTCTATTCAGTAAACATTCCAAGAAGTATATTTTATTCCCTTATTGATGAAATAATATAAAGTTATAACACTATTAATATCAACAAACCTCTTATTTTGTGAGTTCTGCATACGGTTAGAAAAACAATTTATGCGGCACAATCAAATTAGTGCTGGAATTAAAAGCTATGTGAGCATGTCCTTGCCTTTACCTCTAGTGGGCTCTAGTCTGGTTGCCTTGTTATCAAATCACGAAAGCATGATTTCAACCCAGGATTTTATTTGACCATCTCACAACTTGATTTTCCATCTCAGTTTCTTGTCGTTGAAAGAGTGAAACAGATGCATTTATTCTTTGTTTGTGCTATGTATTTGTATATGATTGTTTTCAAATTTGTACACAGAATTTCATACTATTCATTTATAAAAATATAAATATATTATATAAAATTATAGCAAGATGAAACGTGGATCATCATCTCTTGAAGATGGTTCTAAATCAGAGATTGAACCAACTGTGAAGAAATCAAGAGCAGATGTTGACGGTGGCAAGTTTTGTTTAAAACCAATTAATAAGTTTGATAAAAAGTTGCCAAGTTTTAGAGATCCACGTGAAATAGGTTGCTTCTCACAAGACTTTGAAAGAAAATTTCATGCTGATAAAAGACAACTGAAGTATGTTATAAATCTTCCATCTAAAACTGAGTTTGATCTCAATAAAGGCTATAAAGAAATGATCAGGAGAGATGAAATATCTCCTGAGCAAATCAATGATTTGTTGAGATGGATAATGCACAAACCAGAAAAATTCAAACTTCACCCAGAAAAACCTTCACTCGAGGACCTGTCAAGTAAATTATCAAGGTTGGTACTCAAAAATAATGTAAACATAATGTCAGTTTAGATAAAAATGCAACAGTAAATGTAAATGTACCCTATACTAATTTTTATACACCTACATGAAATGTTGGTAAACACTCTATTAAGCACAATTCTTGACTGATTTAGACAAAACTTGGTATGGTTGTTTGTAATCACCCAAGGATGAACTCTATTGAAAATCAGAAAAATCCAAAAATATTTAGTATGAGTTATTGCCCTTGTTCTTGAACCGCTCGTAAACACTCTAGAATGCGCAATTCTTGAGGAATTTTGATGAAACTTGGTCTGAGTGTTTGTTATCACCCAAGGATGAACCTTATGGAAAATCAGAAAATTGAAAAATATTTAGCATGAGTTATTGCCCTTGTTCTTTTAAACACGTTCAATTTATAGCTTGTAAACACTCTAGGAGATTCAATTATTGACAGATTTTGGCGAAACTTGGTGTGACCGTTTGTTATTACCCAAAGATGAACCCTATTGAAAATCAGAAAAATCAAAAAATGATTAGCATGAGTTATTGCTCTTGTTCTTGAAAATGTGTTCAATTTTTAGCATGTAAACACTCTAGAAGGCACAATTCTTGGTGGATTTTGACGAAACTTGGTTTGAGTGTTTGTAATCACCCGAGGATGAACTCTATCGAAAATCAGAAAAATCGAACAATATTAAGTATAAGTTATTGCCCTTGTTCTTAGTAATTAAGAACTACTTAACATGATATATGTAAATTACTAATTTGGTAATGGTATTTATTTAAGTTTAAATACAGACTTTGTGTGTTGGAGAGGTTTATTAACCAGGCTTGTTTGTACACCATATGAATATCGGGATGATTGGAAGATTGCAGTGATTCGTTTTAGAAATACTTATTTTTTGTGTGAATCTATGACAGAAGATAGAAAAAAACAAGTTGACAATACAACACCAAGACAAGATGAGATGAGTTATTGGGGTTGGAAGTTTGAACAATATATCACTTCTTGTAAGTTTCATACACCTAGTACACTGTTTAGGCTATGCATGTTTCAAGGACTGAGTAATCTATTAGCTGTTGTTTTCTGATGAAAATCAAAAAAAAATATTGTATATACTCTTTATTATGAAATGCATCCTCATCTATTATTGCTACACTTCCTACTATTAAAAGTTCTTTTGCAGAAACCAGTGTATTGCCAAACTAAATGTTGGATGTCATGGTTTTGTTTTGTGGTCTTGTACTTGTTTTTTTCTGATACCCTTATACTTACTTTCTTTATTTCTATTTTTGATTGTTTAAACATTTTCTAATAGTTTATGTTTAAAATTCTATCTTAGTTGATCACTATAACCCGTCTGTCCCTTTTACGAAGTTTCTCTTCATTTACAGCAGAGAACGGTGGTACTCCAGATATAAATAGACCTATAAACACCAATGAAGCTTTTTGCTCTGTTGTTAGATCTAGATTAGGTGAACATTCCTTAGGTAAAATATGTTCTTTTTTAATTTATATGTCTGCAAATATAGAAGACCTATTTCAAATATTACTACATGAGATTTAGAGTCAACTAATTAATTGCTAACATGTATTTGTCTGATAGGACTAAATCTATGAATGAGAGAATCAAAGACTAAGAATATAGAGAGGGAAAATCTGGATCAAATTGACAATGTCACAAAAAATCAGATCCTAGTTCTGTCCTAATGATGAATAATTGACAATTTGTTGGATTTCAGTATATGGAGGAGAAATAGATGGTATAGATGATTCCTTACAAAGTAACAGTAAATATGTTGAGTTTAAAACATCTAGACAAATAGAATACAAAAAGCAAAATATTAATTTCCACAGGTAAACGATCCATTATTTCACTTCATGTATCTTGTTTTATACAAACATTTAAATTCACTTGATCAAAGTCTTGGTTCCCAAGATCATCTGTGTTCCAAACGCAAAAAAAAAAAACAGAATTGATCTTTTTTTGTGCATAAGTTATTCAATAACCTCTATTGTGGTACCATAACTAGATAAATCGTCTGAAATAGACATTAGTACCATACATTATTGATAGCTTCCTACCCTTGGTACTTGAAGTGTAACATGAATGGGTCATATTGGGACCATTTCAAGGTCATATTTACAATTTTATACACCCACCCCTCTTAATGTTAAATTTTGAAAAGTGAAAGATATTATAGAGCCTTATAAATGAGGTGCATAGATGATTCTATACCTTTCTGGTGTGTCTGAATCAAGTAGTTGAAAATGTTAAAATTAGACCAGGGAGTGTGTCTTAAATAAAGGTTTGACAAGATGATGATAAAAGTTGGAATGCTGTGATATTTGGTTGATCAACAAATTAAGTGGGATGGTAGGTGAAAAGTGTCTGGAAAACTGTTGGATCTTATGACAATAAATGTTTGAATTTTTAAGGCACAAGTTGATAAAATACTGGGCTCAAAGTCACCTTGTTGGTATCAGTAAGATAATATGTGGTTTTAGAGATGATTATGGTATTGTTCATGAATTAAAAGAATTCCAGACAGAAGAGATACCAAATAATTTAAAGGTGAAAGCTTATTTTAGGTCTTGTAAGTTATGAAACTTTCATATAACATTAAAATCATTTTGCTTTAAGCACTGAATTCATGTATCTTTTGAACCCCAACATATTTATTGTCATCTGTACATGGTTACAGATGTGAAGTTATAGACTGATTACATGGTTAACATAAGAAGAATGTTTGTGTTTTATAAAATCATCATAAAAGATCAAATACTGGTTATAATTACTGACTGTTTTTTTTTTTAAAAAGTTGATATTTTATAAGGAATTATAAGTAAATGTCTAATGGCTATTTCAGATCCTGTACAATCCCTGGAAACCAAATGTATGTATGAACTTCCTGAATGATATCCTAGGATTTATAAAACGTTCTATAAAAACAAATGACTCTAAGTAAGTAATATAAATACTTTCCCTTTATCTGGTACCTACTGGAGTGCTTCTTAACTTACAATAAACGTCTTAATGTCTAAGATTTTCAACATAACCCAAGAGTAAGAATTCAAAACTGTATATATATAAATTTTCTTCTTTAAGGACTGTGTATCTGTTAGAATGGCGTCCACATTCTGATGTTACTTTAAAGAAAACAACAGATCCACAATATAATTTCCTTCCTGACTGGTTTATAACATGGGATGGATGGAAAGAAGATGACACAATCTAGTTTGTAGTTGTGTTGTACATGTGTATATATGTCAGTTTTATGTAAAGAATAAGACTTACAGTGGCATTTGGTTTTTTTTGTAGGACAAAATATTTGCACTAATTTATGTACCAAAATCTAGAGAAATGTGTCTGAAAGTTTAAACTAAGAAAATCATGCCGTTAATTTTTATATCGCCCTCCTTGGAGGGTTAAGGAAACAAATGTTCTTAGTTAAGTAAAATAAATGCCAAATGGAACAGAAATAAGTCTCTAAAGGTTTCAACTACAAATAGTGAATCTTTACGAGTCGCAACACTAAAACACTAAAACACTAAAACACTAAAACACTAAAACTATTTTAAGTTGCTTACTTAACAATCGGTACATACCCTTTTTAATTAACCCTTTGATAATTAATTCAGTTTGATCGAGTACATAAATAGATGTAAATAGCATAATTAACAAATATTTTTAGGTATTTTTTATGGCTTTTTTGATAATGAAAATTTTGCACTATGTCAGTTTAAGAATAAGAATATCACATGGAGTTAAGGCCTGACCACCTGTTGGTCCCCCGTACATTGAAATTTATAGACTTTGTGCAAAACCAAATATGTGTTAAATACAATCATATGCTGACACTACAGGATTTTATTTAAAGAAAGCTGACACATGGTTTATGCCAATGTGATCATGGTTATCAATTAAGACTGTTAATAAACTGCAAAATAAAATATTTTTGTGTACCTGATAAAATATCCATTAAAAAAATATTTTGTCTCTTGTAATGTTCTAGTAATTGCATCAAAGTTCAGGTATAAGATGTTCACAGATGCCTAGACTCAAAAGTGGAGAAATAACTTGTAAATAAAGTAGAGATATCATTTGTTAGTTCCTACCATTTCATTGAAAGCACTAATATTTTATTGTCACTTTTGAGTTGACCTACTCAAAATTTTTACACAACTATTGTTATCATTGCTTTTAAAAATCTTCAATCCACACAAACTGCAACCATTCTTGACAGTCCTATAGCTCTGTTACTTGCCTTTTATAAGGTTTGTAAGGGTTGTGAGCATATATTAATTCAAAAAAACCATTGTGGCTTATACTTTTATTGTTCAGAACTGTATCAAGTCACTTCAATTTAACAAATTATAAGAATAGTCAAAGGGTTCCATATACACATTTATTACATCACAGATCATAATAATCTTTCTACAGCCCTAACTTCAGATTGACTCAATGGTTCTAAACCAAATCCTTTTATATCATCTTCATTTTGTAGATCTCGTAACTTATTCACTTTTGGTTTTAACTTTGTTCTTGTTTCATTTATTTCTTTTTCTAATTCATCATAATCTGTAATATAATTAGATCATGATACAAAATAATAGTACTTTAACTTCAAATCAAGTCTGATAAGAGAGGAATTTCAATCATTGTATATTTTCTATTTTTATTTTACATTCTGGCAGTTAAATTATAATTTTCATAGTTTCATAAAGAAAAAACCTGAAAATTGTAGGTTATTAAATGGGTATGTGTTTTACTATGTAGTATGCAATTGTAAATGAAACAAACAATAAACACTTTGTATATGTAAATAAATCAGAATTTGAATCATAAACAAATTTGCTGTTTGCATATATATTTGCAATTTGCTCACCTTTTTCTAACATTTTAACTGCAGTTTTTTTAGGCATTTTAATAAACATACCACCAATACATATCCAGCTTTTCTTTTCTTTGTTTGATTTCTGTAAACTCCTGCAACATCAGACAAAAACAATATTGGGCAATCGGCTAAGTGAAAGATCAGTTAATCCCTTTTTATTCAGTCATCTAAATATTTTCTGATGAAAAAGAAAACAATATCTAGCTATTTGTATCAATATTCAGAATTAGAATATGAAATATGGTTCTCCTACATTTAAAAAAAGAACCTACTGTAGAAAGAAGTTTAGGTTGTCATCACTTTCAGGCTGTTTAAAAGTATCAACATGATGATGTTCAGTAAATGCTGAAAACATCCTGGATGACAGTCTTAATTATCACAATATATATTTTTACTGAATTGTTGCACAGTATGGGCTTTTTAACAAGACACTTATGCTGCAGATCAGAAATTTGTAGGAAATAGTGGCAGATGAAATATTGTGTTCTAGTCGACTTAAGTATAAGTCTGACCTCAGAGCTTCTCTTGTTTTATTACGTCTTAAATCAAACTCTATTATCTGTTGTTTATCACTTAAAATATCTTCTGCAGCTTCTTCTATAACTGAGAGATGGTCTATTAATCTATCTGTTTCTTTCTTAACACTAGCCATAATTCATTCTCTATATTTCCTACATGAAATACAAAATAAATATTTTGGAATATGATCTAATAAATGTGATTTTTTCAAATGTTAAAGTAGTGGTATTGTAGTAATATAATATCTATGAAAACAACTAAGATCTACAGACAATTGAATATGTCTGTGTCCTGTGATATAATAGGCCACTGCAGTTATATTATCTCACAATGGAATATATGTCACATTGTGTGATTATCCACAATTATATTAAAATTATCAACCCTCAGACCCAAAGATAACATAACATGCAAACTGAACTGTCGGTTATCTTTTCAATTTTGTCATCCACTAGAAAAAAAGTATAATAATTTTGAACCAAGAGAGGCTTATCTCTGACTACATTGTTTGCTGAATTGAATTTTGACAATCATTTTCATATGAATTGAAATATCAATTACAAAATACTACAGAGAGTCTTGGATTGCCTTTGATGAAATTGTCAACCACTGGAAAAGTTATCATTTGTAAACATGATTTAACAGGCAGGATTTTCGGTTTGAAAAGTAGGTCATTTTTGTGTGAATTTTCTGGGAGGGAAGTGTGTCTATTTCAAATGTGAATCACTCAACCTTATATTTCTATGGACCCGAAGACATTCTTATACAAATGGCATACAGTTGAAAATTTATGCAACAGAGTGGTCCTAATTCAAAAAATTCTCAAAACAGCAAAATTTGATTTTCCAACGAATGTGACAAGACAGTAGTCAACATTCTATCATAATATTGATGTTAAAGAACTTTTCCCCAAGAGAAACATAATTGTCTAACACTAGTCTACTCTCTGAATTGAATTTTTTCTCTCATGTCACAAATATTCAAAATATGATTTTCAAGTACATACCAATTGTCTTAAATTGCCTTTGGGTCCATGAATATATAAGTTTTGAAAATTTTGCAATTGAAATGAACACACTTCTCTCCAAGAAATTTCATGTGAAAATGACACGCATTTTGAAATGAAAATATCCCTCTGTAAAATCATAGTTTCAAATAATTTTGTTTTCAATGGTTGGCATTTTCATCAACCCAAAGACAATCTAAGACTCTCCTCAATATTTGTAGATTAATATTTCAATTCATACAAAAATGTGATATAGCACTTAATGTGGCCAGAGAGTAGTAACAATCTACTACTCTATAGTCTATGACTACATTGTTTTCTGAATTGAATTTTGGAAATCATTTCCATATGAATTGAAATATAAACTACAAATACTTTGGGTTGTTAAAAATGTCAACCACTGGAAAAGTTATTATTTGTAAACAAGATTTTACAGACGGGAATTTTCATTCCGAAAAGTATGTCATTTTCAGCTTAAATTTCTGGTCGGAAGTTGGCAAAACCGACACACCTCAACATTTTCAGTTTCTGACGTGGAACCGCTAATGATCTTTGATATTCAATCTTCGAGGTGAGAAAATTACTTGTGAATATAGACTCACACATTCAATTTAAGATGACTAGGTCTAAATGTTGATGAACGGACTAGTGAATGAGTTCACTTCATAGAGAGTTATCTATAATGGTTCACTTGTTCAAGGACTCACTCTTCCACTAATTCATTTGCCATCTCTTCCCATGTTAAAACACGAAATTCAACCTTCTATAACTTTTTCCAGAAATCTCGTTGAAAGCTTTCCAATATGTCGAATGAAAGCCTGACCAATTCTCAATGTCTCCTAAAAAAATTCATTATATGATGACCATGAAAATTTTGAGCTACTAAAATTGAAAGTAGACTACCACCGGTTATACTCATTCGCTAGAGTTTGGCACTTCACAAAACGACTATTTTTAGAATTAGCCTTCCGCCTTTAGGTCTCTCATCATCTCACCAAATCTGAAAGATAATGCAATTTCAGACATCAAATTCCAAATCTAGACCAAATTTTACCCCAATATAGGCATGCAAAAACCCCAAAAGGGAGAGAGAAAGAAGATTTCTATACAATCATTTGCATAAAATGTTTTAGTGGAGTGAGTCCTCAATGCATTTCGATTTAAAACAGAGTTATTTCCCTTTAGCTAAGGTGACTATGATTTACAGACTTACAAACCCACTCGTATCAACTTCGGGTCTAGAATGTCGGTTTCCAACACCCCTGGAGTGAGTCAGGGCTACCTCATACGTCAGTACGTCAGTGAGTTCGTCACTCCGTCAATGAGTTCGCCACTCCGTCAATGAGTTCGTCACTACGTCAGTGAGTTCGCCACTCCGTCACTGGAGTCCATCAATACGTCGATGCTACCTTACAATTTTATAACTTTTGTTTTTAAGTTCTTAAACGAAAAACGACATTTGACGGAGTATTTAAATCAAATCGTCTAAAGAACATGTCAAAAACTAAAAAAAAAAATTCGTACAAATTGGGGAATATCTAATTTCCAACAGTAAACGTTTTATTACTTCACCATCTGAAAGTTTCTTATATATTATTTTCAGTTTTTGCGATGGTTTAAAGGGAATTACATGAAACTCAGACGTCCTATTGAAAATTGGAATGGTGAAAATTGATCCTTTCAGTGTTCCCAAAACATATGTGAAGTAAAAAAAAAACTTTGGACAATCTCTTTAATATGGAACAAATGATGTGAAAAAATTTGTAGTCATAATCATATTGCATTTTTAATGAAAAAAGACTTTAAACTCCAACACTTGAATGCGTTAGACAATATTTACATTATGCATTTGTAAGTAACAAGCCATATTGAAATGTGCTGTGATCAATGGAGATATTATATTATTGTTTTAAAAACAGAAGAATAAATGAGATTAAAGCTGCTGTTTTGTAAGTGTAGCCTATAGCCATCACTCGTTTGCCATGATTATAACTGTGAAAATATATATTTTTTCAAAAACTTGTAATATTTTATGTCGAATTCTGGTATTCTTTTATTTTTAATAAAACAAATAATAAGAAAACTGTTTTGTCTTCTAATAGTGCCATAAAAAATTTTTTTATTATACTTTCACTATACTAAAATCGCGATAGATTTTTTCACCGCTTTCCTAGATTCCTTGAACATTTTCTATTTTTTTTTTTCAATCTGTCATTGACGTTAGTCCGTCAATCATTGCAGTGACATAGTGGCGAATTCATTGGCATAGTGGCGAACTCATTGACAGAGTGGACAATTCACTGACGTAGTGGTGAACTCATTGACGGAGTGGCGAACTCAATGACTAAGTGGAGAACCCATTGATGGAGTGGTGAACTCATATATGTTGCATAAGTATGAAGCAATCCAGGGCTGAATATCTAATTTATTGGCATTCAGTTTTAGCATTCCTTTAGGTTGAATTAAAAGCCCCCGGACTTTATTGATATCTGTCATTGGTGTCAGTCCATGAATACCTCTTCCGTCTTTCTGCTAAGGATTCTGCCACCCCATCAAACGGCCCGTCACTCCGTATGAGTGACGAACTCACTGACGTAGTGGCTAAATCATTGACGTAGTGGCGAACTCACTGACGTACAAAATTACGGGGCTCTACGTAAATAACAAAGCGAAAGAATACAGGATTAAGTTTCGGAAGTTTCGGTACTAGTAACGGGCTTGAGGAAACCATCGACTTACTGACGGACATCAGTGCTGACTTAATCAATGCTTTTTTTCGTTTTCTTTTGTAATTATTGGAGATTCGTATTCTGTAAGGTAGCATCGACGAATGTCGGATGAAATGTTTTCCCCTGTCTAGGGCTTCCTCATACGCCAGTACGTCAGTGAGTTCGCCACTCCGTCAATGAGTTCGCCAAAACGTCAATGAGTTCGCCACAACGTCAATGAATCCTTCGACCGTCTGTGCGTCACGTCAATGGTTTAGTTAACCTGACAATGTTATCAAAGTTTAGTTTTTGATTCATTCTTAGATTATTTTTACATTTTAGGTTTTTTTTCCATTGACATCAGACAGTCATAATATTGTCTCTATCCTTCATTGGAGCCAGTCCGTTAATACAGCGCTTCTTCATGTGTCGCTCCGGCATTGGTGTCAATGGATCCATCATTCCCGTCAGTCCGTCATTGGCTTTATCCGTCATTGGCGTCACTTCGTCAATCACCACAGTGACGGAGTGGCGAACTCACTGACGGAGTGGCGAACTCATTGACGGAGTGGCGAACTCACTGACGTACTGACGTATGAGGAAGCCCTAGCCACGGTAAACATTTCATCCGTCATTCGTCGATGCTACCTTACAAAATTATGTGGCTCTATGTAAACAACAAAGCGAAAGAATACAGGATTAAGTTTTGGAAGTTTCGGTACTAGTAAAGGGATCGACGAAAATATTGACTTACTGACGGACATCAGTGCTGCTCTGATGCATTCCTTTAGTTTAGCGAAATGGCTGAATTATACTGACTTAATCAATGCTGCATTTAATTTTCGTTTTCTTTTGTAATTATTGGTGTTTCGTATTCTGTAAGGTAGCATCGACGAATGACGGATGAAATGTTTTCCCTGTCTAGGGCTTCCTCATACGTCAGTACGTCAGTGAGTTCGCCACTCCGTCAATGAGTTCGCCACAACGTCAATGAGTTCGCCACTCCGTCAATGAGTTCGCCACTCCGTCAATGAATCCTTCGACCGTCAGTGCGTCTCGTCAATGGTTTAGTTAACCCGACAATCTTATCAAAGTTTTGTTTTTGATTCATTCTTTGATTATTTTTACATTTTAGGTGTTTTTTTTCATTGACATCAAACAGTCATAAAATTGCCCCAACCTTTCAGTCCGTTAATACAGCTCTTCTTCATGCGACGATCCGGCAGTGAGTTCGTCACTCCGTCAATAAGTTCGTCACTCCGTCAATGGGTTCGCCACTCCGTCAATGAGTTCGTCACTCCGTCAATGAGTTCGCCATTCCGTCAATGAGATCGCCACTACGTCACTTGGATGATTGACGGACTGACGGCAATGACGGATTAAGCCAATGGCAATGAATGACGGTGCTACCGATTCATTGACGGAGTGACGGATGAATAAGGCGTGTATGCTTAAGGGCTACCTCATACGTCAGTACGTCAGTGAGTTCGTCACTCCGTCAATGAGTTCGTCACTCCGTCAATGAGTTCGCCACTCCGTCAATGAGTTCGTCACTCCGTCAATGAGTTCGCCACTCCGTCAATGAGATCGCCACTACGTCACTTGGATGATTGAGGGACTGACGTCAATGACGGATTAAGCCAATGACAATGAATGACGGAGCTACCGATTCATTGACGGAGTGACGGATGAATAAGGCGTGTATGCATCAGGGCTACCTCATACGTCAGTACGTCAGTGAGTTCGTCACTCCGTCAGTGAGTTCGTCACTCCGTCAATGAGTTCGCCACTCCGTCAATGAGTTCGCCACTACGTCATTGAGTTCGCCACTCCGTCACTTGGATAATTGACGGACTGACGCAAATGACGGATTAAGCCAATGGCAATGAATGACGGAGCTACCGATTCATTGACGGAGTGACGGATGAATAAGGCGTGTATGCTCAAGGGCTACCTCATACGCCAGTACGTCAGAGTGTTCGTCACTCCGTCAATGAGTTCGTCACCCCGTCAATGAGTTCGCTACTCCGTCAATGAGTTCGCCACTCCGCCAATGAGTTCGCCACTCCGTCAATGAGTTCGCCACTCCGTCACTTGGATGATTGACGGACTGACGCCAATGACGGAGTGACGGAATCATTGACGGATGAATAAGGTGTGTATAAGCCCTGGATTATGTTATACGTAACTACGTCAATCCGTCACTGGCATATTCTTTCGTTTTATTTTAAGAAACGCTAGTATTCATCATTTTGTAAGTTAGCATCGACGTACGTCTTTCTAAAATTTCGTTTTGATTTCGTTTTGTGATTATAATTCATTAATATTACATTTTTTGTTCGGTATTGACGATTGACGTTATGACGGAATCACTGACGTGAGTGGCGAACTCATTGACGGAGTGACGAACTCACTGACGGAGTGACGGGTGAGGTAGAATTAATTGCTTGGAGTAGTCATTTGAACCCCTCACACCCCCAAAACGGTGGACATTGAAAAAATTGGAAATTGTATAATTTTTATTCAAACTTATCATAATAACCACACATAATAATGGATATTATATAATCATGCGACAGCAATAAGATGCTCAGTGGAAAGGTTGTTGCTGTTTTCTTTGGAACCATATATCCGCCCAAAAAAAAATTCTTCTACAACAGTTGTACACACCCCCTGCACCCTAGTCCCACAACCCATGGGGTGAAAACACCCCAGGTTGGGAACCAGGGGAATAAAACAGGAAGAGGTTGGCTGTTAAGAAGTGGAAATCAGATTGGGGTACAAAAAGATAGCTTCGAGTCTCTAACCAGAGAAAGAAGGGTGGAAAATCGAAAAAGATGTCCGTCCAGTTAAAACTCTAGAGCTCCAGGTCTCCTCAGAAAACAGAAAGTGAAAGGTCTTTACTATCTAAAAGGTCTCGACACCATTCATCATCTCCGCTCACCCTCGTAACAGACAGCCGGAATCCACAGTTGATGAAGGTAAATATGCCTATCTATAACCTTTTTTTGATATGATGAGGACTAAGAAATCCCCATACATGATTGTACTACATATTCATCTAACCTGTTGTCATAACCTTATCCCCCATATACTCTCTAACGCCGGGTTGGCACACCGTGGCAGCGTGGCAATAGGTAGCGAGATGGAGGGTCATCTGCTCGGCGATTAGGTGCCTTGGGCTTCAATCATTCTCAATGCCCGTGCGAGTGCTTCCTCCCCCCTAAGACCTAATCAGAATCCAGTATAGTAATTACCCTATTAAAACAATCTTAAATTAATATTTTTTATCGATATTAAGTATAAAAGGATTCTGTTTTATATTTACTGATGAACAAATCTGATGACTTTTGAGAAATTCCAAGTCCATTTGAGGATTGATGTTCTTTGAATATTTTCAGATGAGTCAGCTTCCAAAACCCTTCTGGCGGACATGT